ATGAGCCGGAGGAGACAGAAATCCCCATGGAGCCCAGCATGGGTAGGACATGGTTAATACTCCAAAAGCCTGGCAGGCTCTTTGGATTTCTCATCCTCAAGGTTCCTTATCCTCAAGACAATTCTGACCCCAGATTTCTCCACCCACCCCAATAGGTTCTAAATCTAACAACTCCCCTTTCTGACTTTCTGCCCACTGATCCTCTGTCAGTTTTCGCTGAATCCTCGTTACCCTGTTTACATTTATTCAGGAAAGAAATGGTTTTGGGTAGAGATTGTGTTTTCCCAACATCCACAGAATGCTTAGCAAAGGGTTTGAAAAGCAATTTCCTTCTTTCCCCTGAACAGACTCTCCGGTTCCTACACATGAGATTTCATCCTGGATTAAACAGGAGGAGGAGCTATGTATCCAGGATCAGCAGGACTCTGAGGAGAGAGAGATCCCTGCAGATCTTAGAATGGGTGAGCAATAGATTTAAACGACTGAGAAATGACAGTAGACAGAGCTGGAAATCCAATCAAACCTTCCTGAGCTCCTATAATTCTATCTTTTTTGTACATCTGTCTTAACTTTGTAAGTAGCCTTTGTCGGTGCATAAGAATAGCCATGCTGGATACATCTAGCCTGGTATCCTGTCTTCTGAGAGTGGCCACTGTCAGATGCTTCGGAGGAAGTGAACAAAACGGGGCAGTTTGAGTGCTCTATTCCCTGTCGTCCAGTCCCAGCATCTAACAGTTGGAGGTTTAGGGACACCCAGAGCATGACGTTGTGTCCCTGACCATCTTGGCTAACAGCCATTGATGGACCTATCCTTCATCAACTTATCTAATTATTTTTTAACCCAGTTATACTTTTGGCCTTCACAACCTCCCCTGGAAACAAGTTCCACAGGTTGAGCGTGCGTTGTGTGAGGAAGTACTCCCTTGTGTTTGTTTTAAACCTGCTGGCTATTTGATCGGGTGACCTAATTCTTGTATTATGAGAAGGAGTAAATAACACTTCCTTATTCACTTTCTCCACACCAGTCATGATTTTATAGACCTCTATCATATGCCCCTTTAGCCACCTCTTTTCTAAGCTGAACAGTCTGTTTTTTAAATCTCTTCTCATCGGGTAGTTGATCCATACCCCTAATAATTTTTGTTGCCCTTCCCTGTACTTTCCAATTCCAATACCTTGTTTGAGATGGGGTGACCAGATCTGCACTCAGTATTCAAGATGTGGACGTACCATGGATTTATATAGAGGCATTATGATATTTTCTGTCTTATTTTCTATCCCTTTCCTAATGGTTCCTAACCGTCTGTTCGCTTTTTTGACTGCCGCTGCACAGTGAGCAGATGTGTTCAGAGAACTAACCATGATGACTCCCAGATCTTTCTTGAGGGGTAACAGCTAATTTAGATCCCATCATTTTGTATGTGTAGTTGGGTCTATTGTAGTCATTGGGTATGTTGTAGTTATGTTTTCCAATGTGCATTACTTTGCATTTATCAACATTGAATTTAATCTGCCATTTTGTTGCCCAGTCATCCAGTGTTGTGAGATCCTTTTGTAACTCTTCACATACTGCTTTGGACTTAACTATCTTGAGAAGTTTTGTATCCTCTGCAATCTTAGCCACCTCACTGTTTATCCTTTTTTCCAAACAATTTATGAATATGTTGGACAGCACTGGCCCACTACAGATCCTTGGGGGACTCTAATTACCTCTCTTCACTGTGAAAACTGTTTATTTGTACCCTTCATTTCCTGTCTTTTAACCAGTTACTGAGCCATGAGAGGACCTTCCCTCTTATCCCATGACTCTTTAATTTGCTTAAGAGCGTTGGTGAGGGACCCTGTCAAAAGCTTTCTGAAAGTCCAAGTACACTGGATCCCCCTTGTCCACATGTTTGTTGACCCTCTCAAAGAACTCTAGAAAATTGGTGAGGCATGAATTCTCTTTACAAAGGCTGTGTTGACTCTTCTGCCACACATTGTGTTCATCGTAGTGTCTGACAATTCTGTTCTTTACTGTAGTTTCAACCAGTTTGCCTGGCACTGAAATTAGGCTTACCAGTGTGTAATTGCCAGGATCGCCTCTGGAGCCTTTTTAAAAAATTGGCATCACATTAGCTACCCTCCTGTTACCTGCACACTCTAGGGCACCTATCATTACCCTTCCTTGGGCTCAAGGCCTAACCGTTTTAATTTAGGCAACTACCCTTCCCCAGTTCCTAGGGCTCAGGGCGTACTCTTCTGCAGGTTTGCAGGGCCTTTTACCAACGAAAGAGCTCTGAGCTTGGGCTGTGTCCTGAAGTTAGGTTCCAAAAAACTTCCTTTTGGACCCCGATTTATACAGTTAGAGCTAAGCAGGACTCAAGTTTACCTTAACCAATCATTTTTAAAGAAAAGTCATACCATACAGTATTTTTCACCAATCACAGCCCATTACGAAACAATTCTTTACCCAATCAGACCCCACCACCTTAGTTGATTTAAATCTTGCAAAACAGACCAAAACAATCAAAGAACCAGACAAAGACCATACAGATAAACAATAGAGAAGTGGGGACCATAAAGGCAAAACAATGGAAATAGAAATTTCACAATCACAACTATTGATAAGCGATTCCTTGCCAGACAAAATGTTGTCAAACAAAGTTTTCTTTAAAGATTCTAAGACCTGTTTCTTTATCTAGTGGCGATGGGTCCTGTTGGGACAGGCGCGCCTTCTTAACAGTCAGATGTTACACTGCTTTGATGCAATGTAGATGGTGGTTCAGGTTTTGGTCCTGCAACCTGCTCTCAATCATTCTTGTCCTCGTACAAATTCATTGTGTGCATGTGATGAATTACAGGACCTTGTGACATACTTCATTTATTTTTCACCACGCCTGCCCTCTGCCCTCTTATCTAGCTCACCTGAAACTTGCAGCGTTCCAGACCTCTGAGCTGCTTCAGATCAAAGCCTGCTCATCTGCCCAAGGCTTAGATAGTCACCGATTCAGAAGGGACTGGCTTCACTTCCAATAAATATTACAACTCTGCAGGACTAGAAATGGGAAGCTTATTTCACTTGAAAGGGGAAATCCCCAGCTCCCCAGCAAGATGCACGGCACTTGCTTCTGGCCCTGAAATGTCCTGAGAATAAACAGAGAAAAAAATATAGAAAAGCTATTTTAGGTCCCTGTTAGAAATTTTGATGATTCCATCTTCATCTGAAAGATTTAGAATCATGGTAGCGAAGGGAGACTAGCTTTAAAGGCAGAGGGATACAAAAAGAATCCCAGCAAAAAGCATTGGTTAGTTATTTCGGTAACATGTGGCATATGCAGCATGCATGGTGGTGCGGTCCTGTCTAAAGGCTTACCTGGCCCTTGTTTGGGGTGACCTGGGTGACTCCTGAGTGGTGTAGCCATCCCAAACTCAAGCTGATTAAAGCCATTGATTGTGTAGATTTCCAAACCCGAAAGTGTGTTCCCCTGGCAATTGACTAGAATATTCTAGATAAATCCCATTCCTCACCCCAACTTTGAAAGCTCTGATTTTCCCACTGCAGTGCTGACCTGCATTTCCTGTGTGTGTCTCTCACTACGCCCCAGCAGCAAGGCCAGTCTGCTGCAAAGCATTCTGGGTGCTCTGACATCCTGTTGCATGTGGGGGTGGGGGGAAGAGGTGAGGAAACCAGCAGGAGTGTCTGTCAGACAGGAAAGAGGTAGGGGAGGAGAGGTGCTGTAGGAGGGACTGCACAGGTACCAGATGACAAGCCCCAGAGAGGAAACGTTTTGTCCATAAAGCTTTGTGTTATACACTGTGGTTTTTGCTCTAGTAAAAGGTGTCACTTCATCCACCTTTTCCCTTATAGACTAACACTGCTGCCAACCCTTTCTGCATTATGTATTGGAGACTTCCTTCCTCTGAGCCAGATGAAATGAAGGTCTTGATTCTCTCTTTTGTACCAGCAGATGTTGAGCTCACAATCAAAACAGAGGAGCGACATCCTGAAGAAGGCCCTAGCAACCTAGAGCTCCCTGGGCCGTTGCCAGGACGAGCAGAGGAGAGAGCTTTCCAGGGTGCTGAACAGGAAGCGGCCGTTGAGAGTCCTTGCACTTCAATCCGCTCTCCAGGTAACAACCTGGGGGAACTTACTCCACATGAAAGAGAACTCAAAACTGCTGCTGCCCATCTCCGGGGCAATGCAGGACTAGCCCCCTATGCATGTGCCCAATGTGGGAGGAACTTCACTCGAAAGGACGATGCTCCTGTCGCACGAGAGACTCCACACGGGTGAGAGGCCCTACGTGTGTGCTGACTGTGGGAAGAGCTTTAGGCTCAAGATCAGCTTTATGAAGCACCAGAGATGCCACACCAAGGAGCGGCCCTATCCGTGTAACGAATGCCAGAAGAGCTTCAAGTGCCACTCGGCGCTCGTGCGGCACCAGATGATCCACAGGGGAGAGCGGCCGTATAAATGCGACCAGTGCAACAAAAGCTACAGCCGCAAGGAGCACCTCCAGAACCACCAGCGGCTGCACACCGGGGAGCGGCCCTTCCAGTGCGCCGCCTGCGGGAAGAGCTTCAGTCAAAAGTTCGTGCTTGTCTCGCATCAGCGCATCCACACGGGGGAGTGGCCCTACAAATGCACGGAGTGCGGGAAAGGCTTCAGTGAGAAATCCAAGCTGACCAGCCACTACAGGATCCACACCGGCGAAAAGCCCTACAGCTGCGCCCAGTGCGGGAAGAGCTTCCGCCTCAAGGTGAGCTTCTTAAGGCACCAGACGAGCCACGGCAGCGAGAAGCCCTACCCCTGCACTCAGTGCGGCAAGAACTATAGCTATCACTCAGGCCTTCTCCGGCACCAGCTGATCCACGCGGGGCAACGGCCGCATCAGTGCAACAAGTGCGGCAAAAGCTATGCTGAGAAGTACCGCCTGCGGAATCACCAGCGTGTCCACCTGGACGAAGGACCGCAGCGGTGCGTCCCGTGCGGGAAGAGCGTCTCGGGGAAGCAGGACCTCCTGAGCCCCCAGCAGAGTCATGCCGACGGACGTCACCAGCGCGCCACATGCGGGCAAAGCGTCTGGCTCGTGGAGAGCGGCTTAAAGCACCAAAGAAACCACGGCAAAGAGAAGCCCTACGAATGCAGTGACTGCGGGAAGAGCTTCAAGTGCCAGTCGGAACTCACCCGCCACCGGAGGGTCCACACGGGGGAGAGGCCTTACAAATGCACCAAGTGCGACAAAAGCTACAGCCAGAAGTACCATCTCCTCCAGCACCTGCGCGTTCACACTGGGGAGCGGCCCCATCAGTGCAGTGACTGTGGGAAGAGCTTCATCCGGAAGGAACATCTCCTGAAACACCAGCGGATCCACACCGGAGGGAGGCCTCACCAGTGCAGCGAATGCGGGAGAAGCTTCCAATATAAACAGTTGCTGAAAGACCATCAGAGGGCGCATAGAGCGGAGCCAGCTCACCTGGAGGCTTCTCCAAGGAGTGAAGCCTGGGTTCCTTAATGCAGAAATGGGTTCCGGCCAGCCGCTTATCTTCTAACATGCAAAGCAAATCCAGTACAGCAGGTCTGGGAGTTAACACACTCCCCGCGCCCTGATCTGGCAAGCACTTACATGCATGGTTAACGTTAAGCATGTGACTTCAATGGGAGCCAACGGAGAGAGACCTGAGCCCTATCTGGCAGACTCGGAAACTGACTAGAAACTTTTAATAGCTAGATTTCCTCCCTCTCCCCCCCCCCCCACCCCCTCCGTGTATAGCATGGGTCTCTCTCATCCTGCAGCTGCTATCTTGTGAGAATGCTCGTCACGGATTTGTTTTATACGTACAGTTTGTGTATGGCCCCCATGGTTTCAGGTTTGCACATGTCCATTCTCTTCTAGCTAGGAGCTCTATGTGACTTGTGTTTATCACTGTTCCCTTGTGGGGTTCTGTAAAGACTCTCTATGGAGAGAATGGAAGGTAAGTGAGCTGTTGCCCACTTGCATGTCTTGTAG